TTGATGTATATTAAGTCATTCGTTTCTGTTTGATTAATCTGATGTTACTTATTATCTAAGTTCGTGACTAGGAGAAAAAACTTTAAAGTTACATTGTCATGAGTGTGATGTAGAGATTATATAGACGTTGTTACATCCATAGCAAGCCTAAACTTCTTAGAGGGAAAACCTGTCATCGCCAACTTTCACTAGATTCTCAGGCTTCATTGTTAATGATTTGATGGAAAAGGAAGTGTAATAATCGAATACAATACAAAACAAGCAAGATCCGTGCACGAATAACGCTCGTTAAATCACTGATTGGAGAACAAATTGACTGCAATTCTAATCCTAAGTTCGGGAAGTGTTTAAAACCAATAAATTAGGCAAAATATCCTATTGCTAAAACGACTTCAATAACCATTAAACAAATAAAACAATTAAGTATTCGATTTAAAAGAAATAACTTCATTTAACAAATGATGGGATCAGCCGAGACAATAGGTCACGACCAACTCTTCAAGCTTCCTTCGAGACAATGTCTGCATCAATCTCCCGAGGGTAAAACCTATTCTCAAGTCGACAATGATCACAGCAGCACAAATAATGAACCTCACATCAGCGGTTCGAATGTGACTAGGAAGCTTTACCTGATAAGCATTCTGGTTAATCTTCTCAACTAAAGCCGAAGGACGAATTTGTCATGAAGCAAGATTACTGTACTCATGGGCAAGCAAATAATTCCTAGTCTGAAAAGCCCAAACAAGATAACCAACCTTAAACTCGATGTACATGTTTGTGACTAGCATCAGCTACCAAATTATTTTTTGCATTAGATTCCAAAAGTTCGTCAGCAGTACCATGAACTTGCTGCAACTGCTCAATGAAGTCCGTAGCACTCCCGTGCGGCTGTGTTTCAGTAGGCAAGAGTAAAAGATTTGGCCCATGTTTGATAGTCATTATTTGAGAAAAAATAATGTTTAGAATAGTGAATTTTAGGAGAATTTATAGTTAAAAAGTAGAAAAAAGTTTTAGATTTATGTTTAGGATATTTTATTGGGGTATTTTCAAGAATGTCCACAATTAAGGGTGTGAGTTGAAAAATGTTCAATTTTCAAATTTAATACTAAAGTGTCTATTATGCCCTTAATGAAGAAAAAAAAGGACATTTGAATCTCTACGTATTCTCGACATTTAAAATGTCATTCTCGACATTTGAATCACGTTTTATATTTCAATAGTACACACGTCAAATCACAATATTAAATGTTCTCGACATTTCAAAACGTCATTCTCAACATATTAAATATCTAGAAAGACATTTCATTTCAAAAATGACATTTCTCTGTGTTAATGCAAAAAATAGCATTAATTGTTATTTGACATTTTGTCATTTGCAATAAATGGAGTAGGTTATGCGTCAAGATTTCATTAGCCCATATTTTTTTTGCAAAAATGTCCATTTTATTGTCCTTGAATGGAATCATAAATTGTTGACATGGGTATTTTGGTCTAAAATATACCAAAATGGCCATTTTTGCAAGGATTTTTGAAAGTTGCCATTTTTAGAAGTGGCTAGAAGAAAGTGGACATTTCTTGTAATTTTCACTATTTTATTATATGAATGTGAGGTTGAAAATGAATATGTAAAAAAAATAAATGGTTGTCAAATAGGAGTTTAGTGGACTACGTGGGATGAAGCTATACACCATCTGAAACGTGCTGAAATCGTACTATGTATGCCAGAGTTTTCGGTCCCCAAGACTTGTGAACCAACCAAACAATGAAGCAAATCACCCAACTACCCATTCACTACCTCAGTCTAGCCAGTCTAGCCATAAGTCTGAGTGTGATGAGCACAGCTAAAAAGAAGCTCCGTGTTAGCCAAATCCCATAAATTGCGCCAGATGTCACGGTTGGAATTTGGTTAGAATTGGAGTTAAAATTCGTTAGGTAAAAAATCATGAAAAATTGATTTTGTATCAAGCTTGGACTAGTATTCGGACATGTTCCGATTAGTAAATAGACTAACTTATTTTACTCATCGAGTAGATGATCGTAGTTTTTTTGGAATTTTAAAACCAATTCCGGATGAATTAAAAATTATTGTTCAAAATTAGAAGGAAAAAATAGGATTCTACCCATTTAACATTGTTGCTTTTAGTAGTCAGCGTGCATGAGTGCTCCAAACGCGGGTGGTCGAGCAACATTCTAAGCAGGCCGCTAAAGGACTACGTCCCTTCATGAAACATATTGAGCTTGGGACGTATCTCTCCTACCACAACCTCTCACCTTCTATAAATAGGACACCCTTGCTGCACTAAAATCATTTCATATTGATTACTTTGCATCAGAATACTTGGAAAATAGTTGTTTCTTGCATCAAAATCATATTTTGGTATAGAGAAAATTTGTTTCGAGTTCGCCATTGTCTTGAAGTTTGAAGTTCTACTGCAAGGAGAATCCTTTGTATCTTGGGAGACGATTGTCAATCCTCTATTAGCACCATTGTAGGACATATTCATTTTAAAGACAGTGTTCATCAGTCTTGAAGTTCCAACTTCTCTTATTATTTGTCAAAACAAGGTTTACCTTGTTATTTTGTTTGATAAAAGTTTCAATTTGATTTACAAATGCGCTCTAAAATTCCCCAACGGTCACTAATGAAACGAGTATCACGATCTGCATAATATGTAAGCATAAATCTCCCTAAAGAAGGGCTATGCAACAAGTATTTCATTTGTTGTTCGCTTACAACGGAGAAAATGCGTCATCTTTTGTCACAGCACATTAAGTTCCAATGAGTGATTTAATCCGAGTAAGACTCAAATGAACACACAAGTTTTAAGATTGATGTGCTCAAGTAAACCATTATCTTGTGGAGACATGCTCACGTTTAGATAATTATAAAAATAGTAATCTACATATATGGATTTCCACGAATCTTAATATGATTATTTTTTGAGATGAAACATCTAGTCTTATAAACAACTTAAAATATTATTTTCTTAAGATGGATTAAAGCATAATCTGATTAAATTAATTTATTAGGTTTTAGGTCATAATTAACATGGCGCAAACTTAAGTACTTAGTAGGAATCTGATTCTATCTGATTTGGGACTTACTTTTTTTTTTTTTTTTAGTCTAATGCATGATTTCGTGTTTTCATCTCGTGATTTGTGCTGATATTTTTGGTAAGTGGAATGAATCGATCATCACTTTGGCATCTCCTTAACAAAATAAAAGAGGCAGTTTAAAATGCAATGTTGATGTCAGATGTCGTAAAAATGGATCGTCAACCATAACGATGCCGTATTCCCCAATTATATTTTCTTCTTCTTGATTTCCCCTTTTATTTCCTACTGCACTCTTTGCAAATCTACAACAGCGATATTTCATACTTTGTCGGCTTATTTCCTACTGTACTCTTTGCAAATCTACAACCGCGATATTTCCTACTTTGTCGGCTTCAGAAGCCTGTGTTTCACTTTTGGAATAGTAAAAATTGTTGTTTGTCCTGTGTTTTACTGTCTCAAAAGCAGGAGTGTCAAAACAACTCTCAAGATTTGTCTATTTTTTTTCAGTTTGAGGTTGGATGTACGATATTTTCAGTGTTATGTCTTTTTCCTGAATTGGGTAGATAATTCTCGATTAGGGTTGTGGGAAATTTGAATTGGTGACGAAGGAGTTTGAATTTTTATGAGATTGAAAACTTTTTAGGGCTCAAAAAATCATCAGTATGTTTTCCGCTACAAGTAGTGTTGCTTCTTTCGACTTGGTGAGACATTCTAGAACCCTCTTAGTTTCCCGCAGTGCCGCAACCTGGAAAGGTCCAGGACAATCATATCAGACAAAAAAGAGCATGCAGATTTGCTATTGTGTGTTTTTCAGCATGATGTATGATTCTAATTCCCCTTTTTTTTTTCCAATCTTAGGTATTTTCTACAACCAATAGAGTTGAAGGAGCATCGGCAGATTTCTTTTTTGATCAATGTTCATCTTAGGTATCTTTTATCAACTGTATATGCACTTCGTTCTTATACATCTTAAGTTCTTGAGAAATTTATTGATGTGTTTAGATTGGCTAATTTGTACAGGATTATTATAGACGAGGTGCTGCGTATTTGGGATTGGGCAAGTTTAAAGAAGCTTTGAAGGACTTTCAACAAGTGGGTTTTCCCTGATTGTTTTGTTTGTAATTGTATACTTTTTCAATTTGTGATTACAATGGGTCAAAGATTAAAACTTTTTTTGTTTTAGCGTGATGTTTGCTTCCGGTGAAATGTAGAATGTATGATTGAACTCGAATACAGATTGACGTAGTGAATTAAAATTTTTTTTTATCTTCTTTGTCTCTCACTCATGAAGTTGTGTTCATATGATCATGTAATTAATGGCCTGGTTAAAAATATTTGGGATTTTTGATAGAAGTAATTTTTCTTCCTTTTTGGGTACAGTTTACATATTTGGGTTTTTGATTATTGGTTTGGTATTAAAAATTATTATAATTGAAAATTAATGGATTATGAGCGCTAGAGATTTCACAATTTTTTTCTGTATGAGAACTTAAATTGAGCGCTGGCAACTTACTTTTGAAACAGAAGTTTGTGGAACCATGAATTTTTTAGTGATAAAATTGGCTAAATACAGAGAAAATGTGATGTAAGTTACTACATTTATTGCTAAATACAAGCAAGAATTAGTTTATGTTTTTTAGTGATGAAATTGGGTAAATACAGAGAAAATGTGATGTAAGGTACTACATTTATTGCTAAATGCAAGCAAGAATTAGTTTATTATGTGCATGTCAGGTAAGTCTTTAAGTACTTCTCTTAGTGTTCTACTAGGCTGGTTTTCCTGATCACAATATTTCCAGCTTAATATGAATTTGTTCAATGTCTAGAAGCTGAGGTAGGATTGGATCTAACACGCATATTTCTTGAGAAGGTGTTGTACTTGTTAGTTTCCACAATTTAGTTCCCTTTTGTTCCTTTTTCATAACTCTAAAATTGGAAACATCATGAAAAGCCCGAATTTTATGAACTACATGGTTGATGTTCATACCAGTGGAAAAGCAATGGTGAAATATTTTGAAGAAGCTTCTTACCCCGATGAACTCCCGGAGTTCTTCAAAGTTTATATGGCTGCTCTTTGGTCCGAAAGATTGGTATTCCCTTTCTCTTTGTTTAACTCACCATGGCCAATTTATGTTTTTCAAAGTATCTACCCTGACAAAAAAATCAATATGTTCTTCTATTTTAGAGAATTCCTCCGGCATTCATCGAGAATTTTGGTGGAAAATTACCTCGAAAGGTCATGCTTGGAACGTCATCAAACCTCTTTTGGAAGGTTCGCATAAACAAAATCAACGATGATCTCTTTTTTGAGGAAGGTTGGCTAGAATTTGTGCAAGAAAATTCATTGGCACATGGAGAATTTCTAACCTTTTCTTATGCTGGCGACTCGAAGTTCTATGTTAAAATATTCGCAACAAATGGCTGTAGAAAGAGAGTTGCCCCTCATCGCGTAAGCGAGAAGGCATCAAGACCTGGTAAATTCTTGCATAACTACTGGTTCCTTTTTTGTTGAATATATTTACCTTGGATTAGTTAAAATGTACAAAATTTGGATGTAATTAGCGGGTTTTAATTGATTGTACTATTTATTAACTTAGTTGATTAAGGGGAAAACAAATCTAATGAGGAATTTTTTTCCTTAGAGTTGAAGGAAGTTACTTCATATTTTTTAAGGGTAAATAAATGTCATTTAGTCAGTTATTCAATTAGTGTTTGTTATATGGATTAGATTGGATACAGTTTATGACATTCATCATCAAGTAAAGAAAGTATAGAGTGTGAAGGCTAGAGTACGGAGGCATGGTGCCTAGGCACCATCCAAGTGTGGACGGAAGCATCTCATGCCTCCGTCCAAGTAATGGAGGCATGGTGCCTAGGCATCCAAGTAATGGAGGCATGGTTTGCCTCCATCCAAGCACTATGCCTCCATCCAAGTGGATGGAGGCACGTCGATGTCTCGGGAGGTGTCCCCGTCCGCACAAGCGATTTTTTTTTTTAAATAATATTTTTTCCTTTTCTCTTAACCAGCTAAAAGCCTGCAAACCGCATCACGTGCTTGATCTTGACAAAATTTTTTTTTACCTGTTGAATATCTTTCATGTTTACAAATAAATTTCTCTAAAATTTACATATATTTATTCTAGCAAATAAGTGGAAAAGTTGTGTATTATTTGTGGCTAACATCATCATCTGTGATACCTTTTTGGATTGCTGTTTTATTTATTTATTAGTTTTTTACAAATCTATCCCACAGATGAAAATTGGGCGCTTACACAAATTGCATATTTTCCGTCTTTAAGTTTCATCTTTAGTTACCATCAAGCATTAAATTTGTCTTCATTTTGTCTTATTCTATTCGAATACTATATACTATATAGCTATATATCTAATGCAATTTGGATATCTAACAATCACTCCACGGTATTAAATAGCCAACTATATTCAAACACGTGCATTGCATGTGCATCAACTAGTTTGAAAAAAAAGCGAGATTGTTTGATATCAAGACTTTTGAGAGTTGAAAAGTAAAATTATCGTTTTTTTTTTTCAAATTAATACTCATTTGTAAAATAGTTGATTTTGAGAGGTCTTTAGTTGACTTCAAAAAATTATTTTATTCCCTACATGCACATTAAAAGTAAAAAGAGGTTTAGGAGTTGTTTATAAGTAATTTGTATTATAAATATTTATAATAGAAATTATTGATGAATAAGTGGATAGTATTTATGGGTTACATAAAATATGAGGAAAAAAATGATTTGATCGATTATAAATAGTTAATAAACAATAGCCAAACATGACATTATAGGTAATAAAATATAAATAATAACAGATATAATGAAGTTAATTATAGTTATATTTTACAAGCCTACCCACATATCTAATATCTTTAAAATATATAAATTCAGAAAATTATAATAGCATGGATAAGTTAGAAATAATTTGATTTTTATAGAAATTAAGTTATAATTTCGTCCGGTGGTTTTGGTGTTGTGTTGGTGGCCGGCAAGTGGTATAATTTCGTCCAAAAGTGTGCCTCTCACACATCACAAAACTGCCGGCTGTGCGAGAGACCCACTTTGGGACGAAATTTCGGCCACCGTCGTCGGAGGTAGGGGCGGTTCTTGGGTGGGTTGCATAAAGGAAAGCGAGGGCTTCAAGATGGTGTGTTGGTTCAATGGTTTTGGTGGCCGGAATGTGGTGGAATGGGGCACGAAAAGTGGTGATCTGGGTTTGGGGTTGGGGAGATTTTAAGTTGAATTACGCACTTGAGATCCTCCAGCTTCTTTGTTCACGTGTTTTGGTGCTTTAGGTTTGAATTAAGACATAATAGTCCTAAAAATAAGTTCAGTGACCATTTTTGAAACAACATGAAACTTCAATGGCCGTTTTTTAAATCGCGTGAAACTTCAGTGACCATTTCTGCAAATTTTAAACTTTAATGACCGTTTTGTTATTTTCGCATAATTTCAGTGACCATTTGTTAAATCAACCTTTTTCTCATGTAATTTCTTAACACGTTTTACAATCTGAATAAATAAACTCTATTGAAGTAAATAAGATTTATCTATATATCCTGATAAGACTAAACAGTCATCAATAATTATCCTATAATTTTAAAACACTCTCATTTGATGACTATTTATACAATAATTGCTTCTTCATTAATCTAGTTTGGCAAAAATACAATAAGATAAACCAAACAACGGAAAAAAAATATTACAAATAATTATGAAAAAACTGTAGTCACCTCGTTAAAACATTGTTAAGAAAATTAACGGAA